AAAAAAAAAAAAAAAAAAAAAAAAAAAAAAAAAAAAAAAAAAAAAAAAAAAAAAAAAAAAAAAAAAAAAAAACGAAAATTTCTTCTAAAACGTATTAATCTAAGGATTTATTCATTCGATTCGTTGTTACCCATTTATATATATCGCGTCAAGACAAATTATTTCACCACGAAAATTGCTTTCAATCTCGGTTATTCTCCAACAATTCATTATCATTATCATTATCATTACTACTATTATTATTCGCTTCGTTTTTTATTTTTCTTTCGTCGTTTTATTCTTTTTTAAATAAAGTCAAAAAAAATAAAAAAAATAAAAAAAAAAGATAAAAATTTTTTTAAAAAACGAGAGAGAGACGCACGCGTGCTGACTGAGCTGTGTATTTGGAATTTATACGTTGACGATCCAATTCTATATACATAAATATTTGATTGGGTAATTAATTGCAGGTACCAAGGTGACCTTTGATGCGTACAATCACCGGGGATTCCTTTTATGGAAATTGATAACGTTCTTAAAGAAGCTGGTTAACATCTCTCACATATCAATACGAAATTTATATTTTATCTTTTTATTTTACTGGGCATTCCTTTTTTATTTATTTATTTTTTTTTTTTACTGTCCATTTTTATTCGCTGAAGAGACGTGATCGCCTGGGTTTATCCTGTAACCAGGATCTCTTACTAACCGCATCATCTCCAATCTCGGAATCACCATCTTCCGGCGGGGTAGGTTCATTGTTTGTTTGTTGTATCTGGACGCGTGTTTCCGAATTTTCCAATAAATCTCGCCCTGGCAGATTAGATAGATTGGATAGGTACAATGAGTGGTGAAGGCTCAGGTGTCGGGAGTTACGAGGCGTTGACAAGATCGACGAACGGTTGCTGTATGGTCCATCCGAGATTAAATTCGACACGTTGAGGATAATCGATTCACTGCGGCGTATTGAAGAATTGGCGCTACTATTTTCTCCGACGGAATAATAGGTTTCCGATGTATCATTCGTCGTACCGTCAGGGCATTTTGTTTCTTGAGATGACGGTTCATTCCAATCGACGTGCATCTTTGGGAGGTCTGGGGTTCTCGAGCTTGTGGAATTTGTGATGTCCGGGCGTGAATTCACGAGGGCCGAGCATAACGGGTGAACTTTGGAAGATGTTGAGGTGGATTGTGGCACCTCCGAAATCGGTTTATTGATGTTTTCAAGTACCATTGCGAACGCTTGTTTTTCCAACACGGCCGGTTTTCGTGGTATATCGATTGGAGAAGGCTTCACCACGCTAAGAATTGTTTACGAAACGAAAATGATCAGCTTCCAATAATTCAGTGGGAAAGGTAACCTTTCGACAAGACTTACTTGTATACAATGATTAATTGGGCGAGTTGAAGGAAAAGGTGATCGGGAAAGTTCCATACCATAAAATAAGCCAAGTTAGTGTAATAGCTGTCCCGTGCAAATCCTTTCCGGTTGATGCCAATGGACGAGTATACGATCACGAGCAATAATCCCATTATGGTGAAGAACAACACAACTATCGAGAGCTAAATGTGTAAATAAAATATTAATAATAAAAATGATAAAATTTTTTGACGTCACTCGAAAATTTTCAATCTCGTCGTTATCCTTTCCACGCTGTTCTCGTCTCGATCTGGTTACGTACATTTGTGGTAGCGGCTTCCAGAGTTTCCAACTTCCACTGGGCGCCAATGTCTTTCTTTCGTTGTCTCAATTCATCCATGTGATAACTCAAAAGTGAACTCAATTTCTTCCAGAAATACAGCAGCGCCGATAGATAGATTATGATCCAAACGCACCAAACTAAATAATGAATGACAAATAATTTTTCGGCAGCTTCCAGATTATTGTTTTCCGCAAAGTATCCGGTCATGTATGAGATCGGTGTGTTGACAAGGAAGGGTCCCAACATCAGGCTGATTCCTCCGATGTCCACGAGATGTTTATTTGGTGTGATTTTTTTGAAGTGATCGTTGGATGGTTCAAGCGTGGGAATCGAGTGAACTAACGAGATTCTCGGAATTAATTGGCGTCACGATATTGGGAGGGAGGGGAAACAGACAGTTGACCACTTACTAATCCCAACGCAATACATAACTGCAAAGAGGAATCCGGTTTGTCTCGGTAAATCGTCCATCACTTTGTAGAATAAAGTGTTAAAAGAAGGATATATACATATATATATTCATTTTAGAATAATGACCTTTAAAGTTTTATTGACAAAGCACATACATACTTTCGGCGATGGAATTGTTAGGATAGGTGTCATTCAGCAAGAAGAAGTAACGCAGTATTGATAACAGGGAGAAGGAGACGGCGACGAGATGAAATGCATCGTGGGGCCTTGGTCGTAAGATACCTCGATATCTCGACGAAGGAAAGGTCAACGATTGTTTTTTGTAATAAATTCGATATAAGAGAAACCAGGAAGACGTCGCGGCAATCAAGGCGGCATAAGGTATTAGCGCCCAATATACTGTTCGCAATACATAGGATTCCATGCAATTACTTGAATTTATACGAAAATCGCATCTGCAACTTATCAATATGGTTACGTTGTTGCCTTCATCGATTTTCTTCCCCGAATCTATACAGTTTAGACTGAAGTTATTGATCAATTGAACCATTAATCGAGTTCAAGGAAGGATAATCCTCGTTATCTAGTTGCGCTGGTTCTGTGGTCGACAGGTGAAACTCATGGAAGGAACAGAAAAGAAAGTTGTGTGTGGAATGTGGGTGAAGGACTTTCGAGAGGATGAACTTCGAGATCCGCAGAGAAAGCGAGCGGGAATGATGGAGATCGAATGATGCAATTAATCACTGAATCCTCTTTGAAAAAAAAAAAAACAAATAGTACACACGCGCGCACATGATAAATAGGGACTTGATGATGGTCTGTTTGTTTTGAGGAATGCAACCGGGTGTGCATTTAACAAGTATGCACTGTACTTGCGTAAATTCCTTGCGGTTGGTGCAATCAGGATTATTAAACTTTGAATTTCTAGATTAGAATTTTTACTGCATCATTACATGATCCTTTTGGAGTATGCCGTGTGTAGCACGCACGCAAAGTTGGAAGTGCAGTTACACGATCCTTTTTGGTGTATCCGCAAAAGGCACTTGTAATGAGGATGCGCAATTCCAAGCGAATGTTCGACGTGGAGTTGATTCACGATCGTAAACGTGCACCAAGAACTCCCTATGAAGAAGGCATGCTGTCACAGATTTAATGCATTTGGTCTGACGTTCCACGAGAATGTCACACGGTTGTGTTTAGGATATTCCGACATCGAATGGGTTAATTAAAATACATGCATAAATGTCATAATAAACAACACCAGTCGTCTCACATCATATAATTGTTCGTAAATGCGTGTGATCCTTTTGTTCTTAAAAATGAATTCGATAATGATTGTCGGCCTGGTTGGTTACCGCCGTATTATTTTAGAGATCGGTTGCACCGCAAGATCTCTCACCTCGGATTATCGGCGGGTGTGTGGCTCAAAAAAAAAATCACTTCGGCTCATTGGAAATCGGATGAAAAATTTCCCTGGACGATCGGTGGCGTTTGCCGAAGGTATCACTTATCGTACACCAGATTAATTCTTAAGGTAGGAGGAACGTGATCTAGAAAACCTCTTTTTTTCGATGGTAAATATTGACATGCGGTGATGAACCTTGGCTAATGATAACGTACTGTCAGTATTCCTGGAGATAAGCGCGTCAGGCGACAATCTTATTTTTAATCTGAATGAACACAACCACGCACGCATGACAGTTGGTCAGAATAAATACTCGGTAAACTGTAGAATTTCTCTTTCTCCTCAATCAAAAAATGACCACAACCGATTATACCACCAATGACCTGACCTTCCTTCTCATATCAGATGCGGAATTTGAACAACTCAACCGAGTCTTAACCCCCCTTCTCTGCACTTCTCTCATCGCATCCTCGATCACATCGATGACCTTCATACTAATAAAGATCCATTATCCTTCTTTGGCCGACAGGGTCTCCTTTAGGCTGGAATTCGCTACAATGGTTAGCGACCTTGTGTACACGATATTTCAAATGTTTGCAAACTTTATAGAAAATCGACCCGGTTTCATGTGTTCATTCATGGTAACCAGTTTCATTTCATTTCGTTCTATTCTATTCTATCCTATTTATTTATTTACTTATTTCAATATACAAACGAAGAAAAGTTATTTCTAAAGGATTGAAATTTCGAATTGATAGGTTTGGGGGATGGTCTGTTTCAGTCTGATGTCGGTTTTCTTCACAGCATGTATCGCAGTTGTAAGTTTGGGTGGTTGACTGGAATTTCTTTTTCTTTTTTTTTTTTCTTAATGTCTCAAGAACCTCGCGCGCGTGCGCGTAATGAATTTACTGACGAACGCTTCTTCTTCCTATTTGAAGAATCTTCAGGCAATATTTATTCACGAATATAAGGGGAGGCATAATTTCGAAAAATACTATTTCATGATTTCGATTGGACTTTCGCTCATACTTTCTTCCCTTCCGTTGACGCAAAATATGCTTGGATTCGATGTCCCTGAACAGTATGCGCATTCTTCCGTTGTGTGTTGACGTGCAATTTAATGCATTGCGAAACTCACGAGATCAATCGTTTCAGGCTATGCTGGTACCAAAATTCCGGTCAGAAATATAATTTCGTATGGCAATGGGCGACTCTATTTGGGTGGATAGAACTTTGTGTCTTGTATTGTGCCATAATCGTGATCGCGGTTGTAATAAAGCTTCATTACGCGACCAATCAATTTAAAAAGACCCTGGAAGCTTTGCCCATCACCGATCCTTCAAAGGATGAATTTAGGAAATTAAAGAAAAACGCCTCGGTCTCCGCCATGGTCAAAAAGGTGCTCTGGTATCCGGTGGTGCCGGTGATCACCCAAACACTCAACTGGAGCATCGAAACTCGAATTTATTTTCGACAAAAAGTTCCTTTTTCCCTTTTTCTTTTCTGTTTTATTGGCACATCGATTCAAGGTATTTTTCTACGTGGTCCAGTTCGTTCACAAAACAATCTTCACACACCAAGTGGCATGACTAATCAGGTGAATCTTTCCTGGGACCCTTAGGTTTGCTAAACGCTTTGGTATTTTCCCAAGACATTGCGGTGAAGCGCGCTATCCAGCTAATGAAACTTAATTGGTGGTATAATTATGTGAACACCTATGAACAAAAATATTTGCACCTATCGAAAAACAAACGCATTGAACCTTTCAAGAAACCATCGTGCGCCAGGTCAAGCTACGAAACGAATTGCAGCGATGATCCCAATTCTGCCGCAAGCATCATTCGAGAGTCGCCATCGAGGAACCAATGCCCGGGAAAAACCGAAGAGATCCAGAAGCCGGAAGAGTCGGAGAATGTTCTCAACCCGACGCGCTTCGAAAGATTGCGTTACACATTGTTGATCAACTTATTCTCAGTTCCCGAAGAGACAGACTTATTGGCCTCATTTCAACACTCACTTTCATCAGATGATGAAACGGAGTCTGAACCTGAATCGAAAGATACTATCACGAAAAAGCGAAAAAATTTTTCCCTATCTTCGTCGAAAACTGTTCTTGCTAAAGACCAAAAAAATCTTTCCTTACAGTCGACTCCCTCGAAACCTTCTTCGGATTTTAGACCTAGCTTAAATTTAGATATTCCGTATTCTTCAACTTCCATTTCCAATTTCAAAAGCTTCAATCCCATCAGCATACCACCACTAGAACCGGTTCTTCACGCTCATCAGACTCGTTATTCAATAACTCCGAACTACACAGCAATCGGCGATGAGAATCCATTGCCAACATCAAATCTCCTACGATCTCACCATTCGAGAAAAAACAAAAAAAAGAAATCAAATCGCAATTCTTCGATAAATTTCTTGTCAAAAAAATATGATGAGCCCTCGGTCGCCAGTAATAGCAGTGGTGTGAATAACAGAACTTGTGCGAGTGATCAGCGAGACTCTTTGACAATACGTGAATTAGACGAGGGCGAGAAAAATACAAATCAGAAAATAAAATTTCCTTCACTTACCTCAAGATTTAACAGGGAACACGACATGATTTTAAAAAAGCTATAGAATCATTTTCCAATTCATTAACGTGTAAATACTCTTCAACATTTTCTTTTTTTATAGCTAAGGAACAAAGACTAAGCAACTCATTTCTAGTATCTGCATGTAATAAATTAACACCATTATGGAAAAATAGTACGAAAGATATTAATTGGAAAGCGAGGGAGAGAAAAGATCCATGACAAAACTATTTTAAAAATCATGGAATAGTACGCCACTGTATCTACAAGATAAGTTTTTTGCAGATCTAAATTATGCCATAATTAAAGCAACATGTACAAAAGTTTTGCAAGCGCGTGAAAGTTTATTTCGAAATAATAAAACATTAGACGTAAAGTAAACTTGCATGGTTAAATGCAATAACGGAAATCTTTGTCGTTTCGTTTTTCGTGTGACATTGAAATTCGTAATGTACAGTATGTAAAGACGAGTCGTAGAAAGATCTCACGAAGGGAGATCACGCATAAAGATGTCGAAAGATGAAGGCGTGTCCCCGCCGAAATTGCACAAATAGTTTTTGACAATCTGTGGCCCAAAGGGCAGCCTTTCAAGTAAGCCTGTGAGAAGTGAAACTGATCGCGTGAAGCGATAAAATGAGCTAGAACACGAAAACTTTGACTAGAGAGTGGTGGATGCGAGTTGTACAGTATGGAAAGAGGCACTAAAAATGAGTCAAGTTGTGGATAAACGAACGTGACTTGAGCAACTTAATCTCGGTACTTTTTTTTTTTGGATGTTGTCACATGATCTATTAATCTCGGGAATATCGTAGAACAATACGAGCCGACTCGCAAGCGCGAATTTGTGACAAAGCTCAAGCCTAGGCTTGAAATTGTTTCGTGGGATGATACAAATCGTGAACTGCGCGTAACGAATCTTGTTAGAATGCTCACAACAGATTATTTGTCATAAAATATTGTATATTTACCATTCGTGATACCAAATAACTTTATACAATTTACTGTATATACAGTACAGTATCTATAGCAGAAAATTGAGTAGGTAAAAATTCTCCAGAAAGATACGCAGACTTATTGAATATTTGAAGAAAGAATAAATACTGTATATGGTTTCTATGTTAATCGAGGATCAATTGTAAAGAGGAATACAATTACTGTTACACATTTGTAAAAAATTAATAATTTTGATATATTTTTTATATTGCCCTGATAATATAACACATAATATACGTACTGTATATGCTGTAGATACTGTAGATTTTTTAAGGAAAAACAGAGATCCAGTTTATAGAAAGTATTAACAGATAACCTACAGACAAGATTTTTTGTACATTGAATAATAGAGCAATTCTATAATTCTATTCAATTTAAGACTAATAATAAATCCCTATGGCTTGTTACCAGAGAAGTTTCAACAATTCTTATTTATGTTTGTACTATTTCTCCTTTTTGATTTGCGATTAAGAATTAAAATTCTCTTAATACTTTTTATTTTATTTTATTAAATATTTTTTTTACAATAATTTATTATAATATACTTATAAAATACTTATATAAAATCCTAAATATTATCTTATTATATAAATCTATTTTTTTACAAGACTTATTATAATCCATATATGAAATAATTATATAAAGTTTTAAATAAATACTATTTTTGAAAATAACATTCTTTTAATTAATATATTTAGACTTTATTAACTTCTTTTTTTTTTTTTTTAAACCCTCTGTCAGGCTAATTATGTGTGCTTTATTAAACAATTGTAAGCTGTACATATAGTA